ACCTACGATTTAGGACTCTTTTTAAACTTCATTTGAAGAAGGACCTGTTGATTTTTTTATTGATATTGTAGATAGACGAACGTACGGCCCACGTGATGGTGGTTACCGTCGCTTATGGATATCAGCAATGTCAGCAATGCCAAGCCGTTGCATACCAAATTATATTGCTTAGGCATCTCTCGTACTGGTGGTATTTTCAAACCGTTAAGAGTTAGAAACCTCCATAAAAAGAGCCGCCCAATTGTATACTACTGCCATGAAGTACGCATTGTGTTAGAGTCTGAAGATCAGCGCCATCAAAATATATAAAAAAATGACCAAGGTTTTTTTTATTTATTCCTTAGAGGGGTGGACGAGCTCACAGCCCACCTGGTGTTAAGTGGTTACTGGAGCCCATAGAGATCTACTACGTAAATGCGCCACCCACCTTGAGATATAAGTTCTAAGGTCTCAAGTATAGTTACAACGGCTGCCACGCCCTTCAAACTGAAACGCATTATTGCTTCACGACAGAAACAGGCAGGCTGATGGTACCTACCCGCGCGGACTCACAAGAGGTCCTTCCTACCACCAGTAATTACGCAAATTATAATTTTCTCTCTCTCTTTTCTTTTTTTTTTCTTTTTTTTTCATTGCCCTTGTAGGCAGACGAGCACACGGCCCATCTGATGGTGAATAGATACCGTCGCCCATGAACTTCAGCAATGTCATGGGGCAGAACCGAGCCGCTGCCTACCTCTAAATAGTTTTATTTCGTTTCGTAATTAGCATCAAATTAGTTGTGCAGTTGCAAATGTATGCATCGCCACTGTCTCCGCGTTGGCCCGACCACACTGCTACGTTTAAATTACCATGTAATTTCGAGGCGGCTCCCGCTGACCACACCAATTAGTCAATTTGCGTACTGACTTGCGGGACATCGTCTTCTAAGATACCTCCATTAAGTCCATGACAGCCTGAAACAAGATTTAGCACTGTGGTTTAAGGTCGGTATTTCCTTAATGAAACATCTCGGAGTGTGAGGCGTTAGTGTCATGTTTAATTAGGGTTGCTCTTTATTCATTTCCAGATTATTAAGTTAACTTGTATAATATAATTCGAGGAAGTGTGTAGAAAGAATTGCACATGATGCTATACGTGGAATTCTTTTGTGAACAGTTGTTAAGTACGTATTTCATTAGATAAATTGGTACCCGCTTGGAAGATTTGAACACTGGTGCAGTCGTGTCACTCAATACAAATGCACCGGGCGACTTCTTAACGCCGCAATGACTGTAGTTAAAATTTCATTATTTGGATATCATGATTATACGATACCAGCCATACGTTGTACTATAGGTGAATGGAAATGGTATAGACGTTGTCGGAGTCTATGGGCTCCGGTAACCACTTAACACAAGGTAGGACGGATCTGGTTCATCCCTTTATGCAGTAAAACAGAAGACAAAAAGAAGTTTCTAACAGTTGGATAGGCATATCCCGATTCCTTCAACCTAAAACGAAAAATCGATACAGCTTTAAATGTAACATCTTTTTTTTTTTCTGAAGTCTGAAGTCCAGCTGTCCACTACAAGTCCATATGTCCGTACATTGTCCACTAGAAGAGGTGGTAGTGCTATCAACCAGGGCGGGAACACAACATACCCAGCCACAAGTATCATCAGCACCAACATAACAACCTTTCGGCGGAACCCTGGAACCCACAGGTAGTTGTATGTTAAGTGGTGAACTTAATCCGCCCTGCGAAAATAGCTGTCGTGTCTAGGCTCTAGCTAATTATTTCATCCATCATTGATTTGAATCACGACTCGGTTTATCATGCGAGGAACGAAGGTGCTCTGTGCGAATGCTAAGGTCCAAGAAAGCTAATCGTGGAGAAGGTCACGATTAGCTTCAATGTCAGGACTTGAAAGTAGGATGTTCTGTTAACTTGTGGGATCGCGTTCATGTCAGAGATAATTCCGTGTATTATTGGACAATGATGATCCGCGCGAGATGTATAATTAAAAAAAAAATTGTTTTCCCAAATGTAACAACACAAAATTTGTTTGTGTCTTTTTGTTACTGAAGTTATGTAGATACTGTTGTAGCGAGTAGCCATCATAGAATACATGACATTTGACATATTTCTGGATTCCGCTAACGATATTTTCTAGATAAGCTTGCATATACTTATATACAAGCTCCGAACAACAATATTCGTATCGTCGGTCTAAGGAGCAATATAACCCGCTCGGTGGAAGATCTTACCTTTGTCGTTATCCACAAACTGTGATTAGGAGAGATCGCGACGACAAATGAAATTCTATAAGTTTACATTTGGATCTGTGCTTAAGTTGATACATCGCCATTCTTGTGACCGTAAATATTGTGTCTCACAATCCAGAGATAGTCATGACATCACTTCATCACACCGCAGCACCGGGAGCGTCCTATCGGCTTAAATATTCAGAGCACAGGCGGACACCATGCGACCATAATGGGCCGCAAGATTCAGGCTTTAATTGTGCGTAGGCGCAGAGCACACATGAAATTTCGGTTCATACGTTCTCGGCCAGTATTTCCGATTCAGGCCACGTTATTAATAAGGAGATGTCGTGATCGGTGTCTCCTACGCTCAGCCCAACAAAATAGTCGAAAAAGGCAGCGAGCAACTCGTGACGGGAATGCCTCCCCGGCTACCGAACTTCGGTTTCATTGTATTTTAAACTGCTATTGTCTTGAATTTCGCGCCTGGAGCTACGCTGCGTGTTTGTGGTAATAGCATTGTTTGTATCGATAAGGTTGATGTGCGCTGAAATAATTCGACTCCAGGTGGGGTTCATAATATAAGATAGCATAAAGGTTAGTAGGTATCAAGCCTCTCTCAATCCAACTTCCAAAAGTTTGATTACAAAATGCAAAGCTCTCAGTTTCTTTCGTTTTTCATCATAGAATTGAAAAATCGGAAGCGTTGTAGTATTACATTAAGGTAATAGATAGTGCTGTGAATATTCTTTATACAGGGTGTAAACCGTAATCTTATACCTTTAAACGACCAATTCTTGTATTCTATATAATCTGAATCTCGGCAACGGCTCTAACGATTTTCATAAAATTTAGTATACAGGGGATTTCGGGGGCGATGAATCGATCTAGCTACGATTTATTTTCAGAAAATGTTGTTTTATTCGTGTTTTCAATAATCAACTATTCCTGACATCTATTGGCGAATGATAATACTATTTTTCTTAATTGAGGGCAACTAACCGCTTTAAAGACACAACAAGATGGCGTTATAAAAAAAAACCGAACAAAGCTCGGTCATCGTGTAGTTGTGATAAAACCTGCACATATAATATGTAAATCGACGACAATGATTAATTTCATAATACACTCTGAGTGAATTCACAAAGAGAGCTAGAGTGCTCTGGACTGTTGTTTATAGGATTGCATCATAATTTCATAATATATATATATATATGTAAGCTTGAGGGTAGACATTATCTTGTTGAACACCAAGTAAAACGATGTCACTATTTGATTCCTGATTTAATCAACAATATGTTATCTTAACAATTCACTTTAACACTTGTCCAACTTTAACCAGTACGTACAACAGTCACTGAATCACACAACGTAACGAGGATATAGTAAGTGCACCAGGCAAGCGCAGTCCAACGAATGTTCATTTCAAGGCACGTTCCGCCTTTTTATACTAGCCGGCGCAGCTGGCTTATGAGTCACTTCTGTTGCAGCTGTTGTTTACGAGTGGAACGACACGGCCGGCGCGCCTGGCTTGTGTGAGTCACTCCTATTGCACGTGCTATATAACATAAATATCGTTAACGCCGTCACGGCCATACTGACGTGCGCTCGTCCTCGTGCGCGCATTCTTATGGTATGTCTGTGAACAACAAACGTGTTCGTTCATCCTGACATTAACGGATGCAACTTAAAACGTGGTCTATGATATTAACAATCTAGTACGGTTCGGTTCGCATAATTCTTCAGAAAATCCTATACTGGCTATAAATAACCTTCAGACTGCTTACATACCTGGGCCAGTTCATTTAAAACTCTTCAGGTATGTAAGTATGTCCCTTTTAACTTAGACCGGAATTGTTATCCCTTCAGTTTTTCGAACTGGACCGGATAATGCTAGACCGAATCGCAATCCCTGTAGCTAATTGTTGTGGCTAATCTGGATGAAAATCCCTATAGCCAAGCCATTGGACCGGACAGACCCTTCAATGACTTCACACTTTCTTTTTTTTTTCCTCTTTTTTTTTGCTAGTCCGGATTAACATCTCTCTAGCCACATACAATTCTCTCTGCGTGTACGGTAGCGTTTGTTAAAACATTTCTTAAACCAGAACATTTATACGGAATTTCTTCAGAAATAGTGCGAGACCGACCATCGTTTTCTACATTTCCAACACCTGCACCTGAGGCGCCTGAGCTTACAGACATTGTATCACTACCCACAGACTATGTTTGCTGTATCGCTATTTGCGGACAAAAATGTCGCTTCTATTGTCAGTGATAGAGTCGTCATCATTAAGATCAGTTTCATGAACAAGATTACTTAACCCATCTGTGTACGCCGTCACGTCATCGTCACTATAATTTTCAGAAATTTCTAGTAGGCCTGACGGGCCTCGAGGTACTTCGCGTAAGTTTTCATGGGGAACTTTGTACACTAGAACCATTTACATGTCTCAACTTATACCTATCGTTTTCCAAAACTGCAGATGATTGAAAGATTACTGGTGGCCCGGAGGCCTTTCCCGCTTCACCAGGACGGGTGGGCGAGCAAAGGCTCAGCCAAGAGGGGTGGGATTTGCTAACAACTGCCCGAGCGCCTCCGCAGGAGACCTAACAACTCAAGAGCAATTGCTTCGCGAATGAATCTACTACCGGATCGGAATCGCGACCCACTGAGAAGATCCGGCGAGAAACTCAGTGGGCTGATGCATGGGTTAGGTTGCACGTCGACCTCTTTGTCGAGTTCGACGAGTACGATTACTGGGGTTCCTCAGCCTGCTCCTAGTGTTAGAGCTGAAGGTATCTAATGCAAGAGTTATTGGATCTGATGGATCCGTAAGGACGTGTCTAGGGTGACTACGGTGACTTGTTCATGAAACCGCTTACCATTGAATAAATTACTATGGCTTTGTTTTATAAGACTACATTCTGACCCTGAATGGAACATAAAGGGGGAGCCAAAACCACTTATCTGTAACACACTGAAGCTCTGGAACACACGTTGACGTCTCTGGTTGGACCTGCCACAGCACCTGGAGCAGTGTCGTTTTTCTTCTTGTAGCGCATGGAACACCCAGAAGCTACATGGCTCGCATCACCGCACACGTAACAGCCGACTTGCAGGCGAGAGCCGGGCGCCCACGGATGAGGAGGTTGTTCAGGTTTTGCAGGCTGTATTTTTGTGAGGCAAGTAGTAGCTCGAGCCTTAAGCGAATGTGTGAGAGTCAAAATTAAATCGACACCATCCAATACTTCAACTACTTTAAACGGCCCTTTAAACTTCGTATCTAATTTCGTTTGATTATGCTCTTCGTATTAATGTGTGGACGAGCTCACAGCCCACCTTGTGTTAAGTGGTTACTGGAACCCATAGACATCCACAGCGTAAACGCACCACACACCTTGAGATAGAAGTTCTAAGGTCTCAGTATAGTTACAACCGCTGCCCCACCCTTCAAACCGAAATACACCACTGCTTCACGGCAGAAATAGGCAGGGTGATGGTACCCGTGCGGTCGATGGCACTATACGGAGCACCCGTCTGGTGCCACGTCCTTACCCACGAGAACGTCGCCGCGCTGCGACGCCGGCAGCGCGCGATCGCAGTCAGAGTTATTCAAGGATACCTCACAGTCTCCTACGAGGCGGCGCGCCCTAGCGCAAGTGCAGCCGGAGCGCGGGGGCTCCAATCTCGGCAGTCCGTGCTGGAGGCGTGGTCTCGTCGTTTGGCGGACCCGTCGGCCGGCCTCCGTACCGTCGAGGCGATCTGCCCGGTTCTCGCAGACTGGGTGGGCCGCGACCGCGGAAGTCTCACCTCCGGCTACCTGTGCAGACTCACAAGACATTTTACCACCATGCAAACTTCTTACCGCAACAAATCTTACCAGCCACCACGCAAACTACAATTTTACGGGTTCCACCTCTCCTACACGATGTTACTCCCACACTGAGGAAGCCAACCGCGAACACTTGTCAAGCACGCACAAGCACGCACTTCACCGGAAAAACCTGCATCCGCCAGCGGAACCCGAACACCGCCGCATCGCCAGACACGAACGCACCGGACGTCTTATCTTACAGGTCACGACGACTTCAGATGTGTCAATTTTTCTTCCCCACGGAAACTTGCTTGCTTTCTTGTTTGCTTGCTTGCTGGAGCCCGAAGTCATCGAACGTGTAGTGTTATTGGTATTGAATCGAGTAGATTCTAAAATTTCAGCGACAATTCACAGTCTCATGTCCTGGTTTACTGTACTAGTGCCATGTAACTCTAGCAGTAGTCATTGGCTTAAAAACGATTCGTGTCGGAACTACCCACTCGTCATGACAGATCCATTATTGCGATCGAAGTTTCACTTGAGATTTGCACTTGCCTTAATTTCTTGCAATAGCTTGTTACGTGTTGTATTTCCGTTAGTAAATGCCATGTGATGAAGTCGACAGTCAAACTGGGCAACATGAGCCAGAACGTAAGATGTGACGATTTCTTCGTGGCTCAGATCTTCCATCGAGGTAACAGAGACGTTATTACACGACTTACGTATGCTGCATTCACGCTCTTGTGGCGTACCACTACTAGTATTCTGATCTGCATCATGTTTTTTTTGCTGTACTTCGAACATGTTCAAACACGTCACGCCAGTGAGAGTAGAGTCCTGATCTCACTTCTGATGTAAGCTTGAGGGTAGACATTATCTTGTTGAACACCAAGTAAAACGATGTCACTTTTTGATTCCTGATTTAATCAACAATATGTTATCTTAACAATTCACTTTAACACTTGTCCAACTTTAACCAGTACGTACAACAGTCACTGAATCACACAACGTAACAAGGATATAGTAAGTGCACCAGGCAAGCGCAGTCCAACGAATGTCTCTTGCAAGGCACGCACCGCCTTTTTATACTAGCCGGCGCAGCTGGCTTATGAGTCACTTCTGTTGCACGAGTGGAACGACACGGCCGGCGCACCCGGCTTGTGTGAGTCACGCCTGTTGCACGTGATGTTTATTAGAAATATTGTTAACGCCGTCATATATATATACATAGATAACATTAGGTCTTAACCTACGAAATTGCCGCTTAGTATAGAGAAACTTAGTTATTATTGTGATAACAACTTTTTATTTCTATCAATCAAAATATGCAAAATATGATGGTATCAATTTGTTACAATGCATGAAATTTGACCATTGCCAAGCTAATTTAGGGCAGCGGTAAACAACAAACGAATGAAGTAGTACTCCAGAGATATCAAAACGGTCGTCTGGTGTAGCGGTAAGTGACATGGTCACTACACAAGGGGGTAGCGGGTTCGAATCCGGCCAAGGGAAGATATTTGTATGATAAATATAAGATGTATTTTCCAGGGTTATGGATATATAGTAAATATATGTATGTGTATAATAAATATCTTATATTTATTTCCGTTATCTAGTACCTGTAACACAAGTTCTTTACGAACTTAGCACGGGACCAGTTAACGTGGCGTGATCGTTAGTAAATATATATTTATTTATTATTATTTATTTGTTTATCATTGTTGAAAATCACAAAAAACGTAGAACAGGAAATGGCATCGTGCTTCTCACTCGCCGCAGCGTAAGAGACGTGGAATGCGTTATGATATCGGCATTAGGCAGGTATTCGCGTAATGAGTCGCGGGCGCACGTGGCGGCTGCCTCTCCCACGGTCGATTGATTAACGGTGCGACACCCGACGTGAGAACCCCATGCTCTGACCATGCCACATTCGGCTCGTGTCGCGGCCGCGTGATAGAATTGCAACGGCGCCGGTACATCTAGACGCGAACGCTTCAGAAACACGTGACTTGGTTCCTAAAGCCCCTTCGTAGTAGAAAGCGTCGAAAATTGATCTTTAAGACTCTGCTTTTGCATGTGTCGCCTAGGCATTGAATTTCCATTGTTCAGTTTTAATTGTCCTTGTGATGTCCACAGACGGATTTCTGGGTAACTTATTTATTTGCGTCACGCGAGTTTCTCTGTGAAGCTTTTGAAAATAGTTTTGCTACTAAGAATTTTTATTTAATTTTATTTATAGATCTATTTAATAATCTCTTTTTTTGTGGTTATTTGGTTGGGATAATGATTGATTAAATTGTGAATTGCTAGGTTAATCATTGTTGCAAGCTTGTTATCTTCCTAGTCTCTCAGTCCACTTGAAGTTAAGTGGTTTTCAGAGTCTATAGACATCAGCACTTGAATACTGCCACCCAACTTGGTCTAACCTACGGATTCAGGCATCATTATTATCTACTGTTAAATGTGTATCTATTACAGAATTATCAAAAATCTAAATTATGACGATGTTGAATTGCGAAATAGTCTCTGAACGACGGACGATGGTAAACAGTAGGTGCACAAAAACTGGCGCTCTCTTGTATCGGCAGGATCTTTCCATTTTGGGTGGATGGGCCGGGCCAGACGTAATCATTTGTTAGTAAAATTTGGACCTACGAAACGAATGAGGTTTTTTAAGAAGCAACGGGAACTCTTGAAGGTAGCCCTTCGCGAACTGTTAAAGATCAGGATCCATTACGGTCATAATAATCCTAAAATTGATGTCCATAGACAGGAGAAATGATGAAGATGAGTGATGAAAGAAATGTGATTTCTTTCTTTAGTTGTGAGTTTTTAGTTTAAAATGATTTCACCTTGAGAAGCTTTCATCCTATAGAAAGAAACAACGAACAGTATTTTATAGAAAATATTTTGCATTTATGTGTACGAGACCCAAATAACTGAGCGACGATTCAATGAGAAAAACACCTTTTGGAACCATATTCTTGAAGCCGTTTTCTGTATTTATTTTTTTAATTAAAACAAGCACGTGAATAATTTATTTATTAATGCGGTTTTAGTATGTATTTGAGATTTTTTATTTTTCGACTCTGACTTATTTTGTATTGTCAATTAATAATTAGCTAATGTCGAGTTCATTGTCCTCGGATATGCCGATAATTCGACTCGATCCTGAATTCTTACTCTCAGGGTTGGTCATATGATAGACGGCGCTATATTTAAATCCAAAATATGACAAACAAAACCTTGATCGGTCCAAGCGACGAATCTAGTAATTATTCAAAATATGAAAATAATATAATGTTATTTATTTATGATTAATGATTTATTTTATTTCAGACAACAACAAGTCCACATGTGTACATAGTATCATTGAAACATACTTAAAAATAACAAAACCAATCAAATAAAAAAGATACATTTATTAAAAATAATTATCAGTTGAATACATTTCAAATATTCCATTCAACTGATACTTACTTCGAACCAACCATCATTATTATTATTATTTAGTCCGCAAGTGAACCACGGTACAATGGTTCAAGTACCGACAGTCATAACGGTCTGTGATTATTATGATTTTTATGCGATTTCAATATTTTAAGAGCGATTTAAAAATGTCTTTGGGTGAAAACAGACATCGTCAGGAAGTCGACCGGCGTGATCCAGAGGTACAGAGGGCCTTATCTCGTGCAAAGGGCCGGAAATGTGATTTGACGTTTGAGAAACGTGCGTGCGCGCTCCGTGGCTTGCATGCATATGGAAAGATGTGGTTGGTTTTTACGTCCCGACATCAGGACAAAAGAGCTAGTCGAAACTTTCTGTATTTATTTTGTTTAGGCTAGCTGTTTTCACTGGTTAGCAGTCCTTAATTTTTATTTATTTATAGCGCTTAGATGGATGGACGAGCTCACAGCCCACCTGGTGTTAAGTGGTTACTGGAGCCCATAGAAATCTACGACGTAAATGCGCCACCCACCTTGATAAGTTCTAAGGTCTCAAGTATAGTTACAACGGCTGCCCCACCCTTCAAACCGAAACGCATTACTGCTTCACGGCAGAAATAGGCGGGGTGGTGGTACCTACCCGTGCGGACTCAAAAGAGCTCCTACCACCAGTAAAAAATGTACCGCCAGTAAATGTTGTCCGGAGTCATATTCCGAGCTTATATCGCTTTTTTTCCGGACAAGATGCCGATCCTCTTGCGGGGTTTTCTCGGCTAGGCTAGGCACGCGGGTTATGTAAGTCTTGGCGGTCTCCAGATGCAGGAAGCAGACCATTGGAATACTATGTTATTCCTTTATCGTGAAAGTCTTAGGTACGTATTTCATTAGAAAAAATAGTAACAGCCTGCGGGATCCGAACACAGTTGCATAGCTCGATGGGAGCCAGGCTTCTTATCCTTTAGGCCACGACTAATGTCCAGCGATGAGCGACGCCTTCTATGTTGTCTATGGACTCCAATAAGAGCCTAACATTAGACAGACCATAAACTTGTTAATACGTGTAATGCAAATAAATAATATTAAGTGATAAAAATAGTTTAGTGTCTACTCACTACTTAAGTAGGTACTTTAAATAGCATCGTAGTAATTTAACCCAAAAGTATAAATGCAGTAATTGTGAGACTATAGATAATAATATTAAAGCGAAGGGAACAGGCTCGACTGTTTGTCAACTGTTGACATCCGTGTGACTCTGACACCGTGACTTCTTGTTACGACGAACGAACAGTTTTGATACTTGATAATTTTTTTTAAATATGAACATAGGCATTGTTAATTTTTAATTTCTTTTTTTTTTTTTTTTTATTGCCTTTGTAGGCAGACGAGCATACGGCCCCCCTGATGGTAAGTGGTCACCGTCGCTCATGGACGTCAGCAATGCCAGGGGCAGAGCCAAGCCGCTGCCTACCATAAAGAACTCTCCGCAAGCCTCGTTTGAAGAAGGACATGTCATAGCGCTCGGAAAACACCGTGGAGGGGAGTTCATTCCAAAGCCGGATGGTACGTGGCAAAAAAGATCTTTGGAAACGCACTGTCGATGAACGCAGCGGTTCCAGATAATATGGATGAACTCTGCTCCGATGGCGGGAGGTGCGATGATAAAAAGGAGATGAGGGAATCATCTCGAATAATTCCTCAGAGCATTCCCCATGGACCATGCGGTATAAAACACAGAGAGAACCGAAGTCCCTCCGTAGACCCAGAGGTTCCAAGCGATCCGCGAGAGCAGGACTATCGACCATCCATCCGAACAGCCCGTTTCTGTATGGAGTGGAGTGTTTTGAACTCGCCAAAGGTAGTCGGCAAAAAATAGCCATATTGATTTTTTGAGGGATACATAGCTGACGGTATATCTGACGTCTGCTATGCTATGTAATAATAGACCTCGACTTAGCTCGACAAAACTTCTAGAAGACAGAGGAAGAAATAGGCTCCCTTTTTTAATTACGTAGGATCGTCGAGCTCATGGTCCATTCAGTGGAAAGCGGTTATCGGAGCCCATAGACATCACAACGTGAATCTGCCTTCCCCTAATTGAGACTTGAGTTCGATGTAACTTAGTACTTACATAAATTATTATTGCCGTTATGTAATTATCACCATTTAGAATTTTTTAGTTTTCGCTTATATTGAATAGCATCTTCGTCGTCTGTGATCACCAATACTGTAAAGTATTGGAGAACCTTAAAACCTTAACCTTAAAATAAGTTTTAATTGTGTTTAGTTAGAACCGAAGAAAATACCAATAAGAGTGCTTACTGGAATTTAGCTGAATGGCTCGAATGGACGAGAATTCAAATTTACCTATAGTTTTGTGATAGCGCATGTTATGTTAAGCATTTCTGACATGTTATTGGAACATTAAGTCTTCATATCAGTGGTCAAAAGGGATAAAAATTAAAAGTTGAATATTTTTTAATGAGATTTTTAAGAAATAGGAGAATATCCTAGAAACTTTCCAAAAAAAAAATTATTTTTTTGCATAGATTGGTGAACGAGCTCACATAACACCTGGTGTTAAGTGGTTACTCGAGCCCATAGACATCTACAACGTAAATGCGCCATCCACCTTGAAATATAAGTCATAAGGTCTCAGTATAGTTACAACGGCTGTCCCACCCTTCAAACCGAAACGCATTACTGCTTCACGGCAGAAATAGGCAGGGTGGTTGTACCTATCCGTGTGGACACATAAAGAGGACACACACACACACACACATATACCACCAGTAAAATAAAAAACAAGTGGGTACATTATTACCGATTTACCAATACAATTAGTAAATGAAATCTTTTCAAGGAATATGGACAAGTATCAAGAGTGTTCGAGCGTGTGATGCGTGTAGGCCGGGCAGCACGTATAGCGACGTGGTTTCCTGGCTATAGACCCTCGCCTGCGGGAACTCTCCTCTGTCACAGCCACGGCTTCATAACATTGAACTTTTAAGTCCCTCATATTTTGAATTATAGTTAGACGAAGTTCAGTAGAGGTACTGTCCAGCCGGTACTGGATGATGAGAGCATGCAGTCCTCTTTTTGAGAAGGTTGGCCACATTTTCCTTTCTTCACAATCGCGGTTTATGGTCCGAGTGTTTGGGACAGTTTTTTCAATAAACTCACGATGTTGTCTGTGGACTCCATTAATCGCATTACATTATTATATCAAGGTCTTCAATGAGAAAATACAATTCATTTTATTTAATACGTCATACCTACTTACTACCTACCAACTATACCAGAAAAAATATACGAAAGGCAATAATCTAATAGTACAAAAATAAAAAACGCTTCCGCCCAAAAATCACTTTTTGCCACCTAAATTCGTATAAAATCTTTGCGAACAAAAAATTCCCCTAAATCCCCAAAATTTCCATTGAAAAGCCTAAAAAACTATTCAAACTTACGAAAGATATATTCGTTCAATAAATTTTAAATAAATTTCAATGATAAGTTAAGTTTAAGACATTGATAGC